AGCAACAAGAGTTCCTGGCAGACACAACTGACTTCTCTAAAAAATGTTTGTTTTAATGAAGGACAAGGAGAGAAAAATTAAAACGTGAAAAGGAAGAGAGACAATAAAAGAACAGAAGATAGGTAAAAACAAGAGGCAAGGGCAGAGGCCATTTGTCTTCCCCATCTATGGAAACATGTGGAGGGAACAGCCACAGGGAAGGGCAGCTAAGGACATTTGCTCCTTACAGACCTCGAGGAGAGCTCCTCCAGGAGCCCACAGACAGCCCGACAGGGAGACAGGACAGCCACTGGAGCACTCTGCGATGGGCTGACCTTGGCAGGGCGTCAGACACCTACCAAATTTGCTCTATCACTCCCCCTCCTCAACTGGAGAGGGGAGAGAAAATATAACGAAAGGCTCACAGGTCAAGATAAGGACAGGGAGATCACCCAGCAATTACTGTCATGGCCAAACCACACTTAACTTGGGAAAACTAGTTTAATTTATTACCAATCAAATCAGAGAATGGCAATGAGAAATAAAATAAATCTTAAAACACTTTACTCCCACCTCTCCCTTCTTCCCAGGCTTAAGTTAATTCACGATTTCTCCATCTCCTCCCCTCTAAGCAGCGCAGGGGGATGAGGAATGGGCGTTGCAGTCAGTTCCAGTTCCTCATACGTGGTCTCTGCCACTCCTTCCTCCTCAAGTAGAGGACTCCTCACATGCTTCCTTTGCGCTGGTATGGAGTCCCTCCCACGGGAGACAGTTCTTCAGAAACTGCTCCCCTGTGTGGGGTCCCTACCATAGGCTGCAGTCCTTCAGGAACAGACTCTACAGGTCCTGCCAGGACCCTACTCCAACGCAGGATCCCCACAGGGTCACAGCCTCCTTTGGGCATCCCCCTGCTCTGGCATGGGGTCCTCCGCAGGCTGCAGGTGGACATCTGCACCACGTTCACAGGCTGCAGAGGGACGACCTGTGTCACCATGCTCTTCACTGTGGGTTGCAGGGCAATCTCTCCTCTGGCACCTGGAGTACTTCTTCGTCCCTCTTCTTCAATGACACCTTGGTTTCTGCAGAGTTGTTTCTCTCATGTATTCCCACTCCTCTCCCTGGTTGCAGTTCTGCAGTAACATTTTCCTCCCTTCTTAAATATGTTATTCCAGAGGTGCTATCACTGTGACTGATGGGCTCAGCTTTGGCCAGTGGCAGGTCCGTCTTGGAGCTGCTTGGCATTGGCTCTGTCAGACACAGGGGAAGTTTCCATCAGCTTCTCTCAGAAGCCACCCCTGTAGCCCCCCTACTACCAAAACCTGGCCATGCTGTCTGAAAGATGCTGCACTTGCCAAACACGTTTTGATGGAAGCCACCTCATCCCAACTTTGTAACATGAACAGTTTGGGGATTTCTCTTGAATCCAGATGAAATAAAGACAGAAATAATAACACACAACCACCAACAACAGATCATCCTAGTGTTGCCAAAAACAGCGCGATGCGTGTCTCTCATTTTCTACATTGAAGAGCAAATATTAAAATCTGACATTTACCACCTTGGACTTGCAACCAATTTTCACTTCATATCTATTGGAAGACAATGCTCACAAACGTCACTCTTGCTCAGAGCCCCAGACTCTTCCCATGGGAACGCAGCTGTACCCCAGCAACAGGGCCAGATCAGGTCTGCAGTTACAGGAACATGCAAAGGACAGAGGAGGCTGCCATTCCAGTGCCAGCAGTTTCTAGTTTACCCCACATTCCAGAATGTACTGCTGTTCCAAGCCAAGAATATAAATAATGGCAGCAAAGGTAAAAGTGTGTATTAAAATATGCCTCTCCACTGTTTATCATTCATTTTTGGAAATTATGAGAAATAATGTCCTGCCCTCTGCAGTAAGACAAAGAGTCAGAAATGTGGGGAAAAGCTTCTGTAGCTGCTGATCAAGCAAAGGAAAACTTTTTTCAAGCTGCCCTTCTGACTCCAGCGTATCAACAGTTCGTCCCCCCTGCCCCATGACTACATCTGACACAGCTGCCCTGGTTTAGATCACAAGGTGAAAAGTGCTAGTCAGACCCCAAGATAAACCTGTCAACAGAGAGGCACAGACGTTTGCATTCTCCCCTACCCGCTTGTGAGTGTCAGCTGCTTGTCGGGGAGCAGTCACTTGAAAAGTTTTTACTGAGAAAAGGAAAGGGGGATGCAGAGGGCATTTCAAGCATGGAAAAAAAAAAAGTTGGGGAGGGGAACCCCATAAAGACGGCAAAGAGAAAATTAAAAAAAACCACACCAAAACCCTGGCCCCATCAGGTCCTCCCAACAACCTTCTTTATCAGAGGTTCATTGTCAATCAATTAGCCAAGGCAGCAGGGGTCTGTAGGGAGGGGGGTAGCTTGAGAGACAATGGCCTGCCCTGTTGTATTACTATTTAATCACTTTTCCTAAATAAATAAAGCAGCCCTGAGGTGCTGTCATGTCAAGGGAATTTACAACAAAAAACCCCTTCATTTTTCATTGGTCATTACTTTTCCTTCCCTCCCACCCCCGCCGGACTAGAGAGGGTTATTACTGTAGCCTTAAGTTCCATCTTTGTGTTGCTTGCCTTTGATTCCCACTCGGACCTTGCCACTTTCTGGCACTAATTTGTCAGGCCGAACAAAGGAGGGATTTGTACCTCCTGTAAGGTCTCAATTAGGAAAGGCTTCTGCTGTATTATGTGCCATTGGGACAGGACACAAAGACGGTAATTACAGGAATTTGCACTAAATGGCTGAAGAATTCACAGCAAAACTTTTCTTCCTCCCCCCTCCTCATCCTTTTCCAAGCTTACCCCTCCCAGCAGCCCTGGGGAAAACCGCTCTCAATGCCTGCAAGCTGTAATTACCAACAGCAGGCCCCTTAGGTTAAACAGCAGCCCACGCCAGGGAAGGGCGCAAGGCGCCTGGAGGGAGCGAGGTGCCAGGAGAGGGTCTCGGCTGGCTGGTGTGCCTCCAAAGCCTCCTCAGCAAAAACTTTTCTGAGCCAGCGAAGTTGCCCCAGTTTCTCCTAGTTATAATTACAACTACTCGTTGCTTTATGCCGTGGTAACCGCTACAAGCTCCAGCTGAATCTTGAAGGCCGGCTGCCAGGGTCTCGGGCAAGCCGCGGCGAAAGGTGCTGTGCCTCCCCAGCCTCGGGTGCAGGGAATCCCAGCGGCTGGCTTCTCCCAGGCTCTCCCCAACTCGCATTTCCCCACATAAGACTGTTTGCTCAGTTTCGCGGACTAAAAGGAGGCCACAGAAGCACTGGGAATGCCTCGCACCTATCGAGGAAAGATGCTGTGCATCCCTGACGTGCCCAGAGCACCTCACTTCTGGGGCGAATGCACGAGCAAGCGCAGATGAATTGTTCCACGTTTGGGAGAGAAAATCCACCCTTTCCCACGAAAAACTCTGCTCCCATATATATAATGCAAGACTAAAATCTATTTTGTGTTTAAGATGTGTTTTGTGCCTGATCATATTTTTGAGGAGGTCATTGAAAATGATCACTTGAAACTCTCCTGGACCTCAGTCAGAGGATGAAGCAAAATTACAAATTTTTCCTCTACTGATCTTTGAATTAAAAGAAATTAGGAGAAAGGAATAAAGTTTTAATGTAATCTGGGACATTATCTTAAAACGAGGCTGTTAATTCTCTTGTATTCTTGAGTTTCACAAGGCTGTCTTCTGGACAACACACCAGGCTGCATCCATCTCACAGATACTTATTGGCTCATTCCCAGTCTCCCTGCAGCTCCCACTCTCACAGCTACTCTTAAAGGTAAGACATGACCATCGTCCAACAGTGTTCAAGTCATCAGAGTTACCAGAGGATCCAGGCTCCTTGAGTTTCAGCAGTAATTTGGTACATAATCACTCCCAGGGAAAAAAAAAAAATAAATTGAAGTCACACAAAGAGTTTGTGACCACAAACAGAACTGAATTCAGGCAGAAGGCCAAATACGGTGACCAAATCATTAACTGCAGTCAGGCCAACCTTCACAATGCTCCAGCTACCAGGTGGGTGCCATGCAAGTGACTACCAGACGAGGACAAACTCAGCTGCAACCAGAGCCAGTTCCGAGGCCAACCCAGCACTTTAGGGCTCAGGTCTCCTGTGGAAGGGATTCAGGCCAGCCAGGAGGTCCTGGGCCCACACAGACCCACCCCACCCCGAGCCACGTGTGGTTTCAGAGCAATCAGAGGCTCCACAATGGATCTCCACCCCAGAGCAGAGCAAGGAAGAGGCAGGACTCTCACAGCTCCCATAACAAAAGAGGAGAACCCTCCAGAAAAGCTGTTGCTGATACAGTCAACAATTTCTATGTGAGCGTAACTAAAGCCAGCCAGAGAGTATAGTTTAGGCACGAGGCGTCCAAATTTGATCCACAAAACTGTCCTTGTTAAAGGGCAATAAACTGCATTCACACAGGTCCTCTCGTACTTTCCCTTCATTCCCAAACTGGGTAAAATCATGATCTTGCCCAGGTTAGTTAGCAGTCAAATGAACCGAAATTTACAATTAGCTGCAGAGGCTTAAGGTCATGCTTTTACCCCTGCTTCAAGGGAAGAACCGAGCAGGTGAGCTCATGCCTGAACCTCTGTGCTAGAGTACGTGTTGCCAAATGACAGTGTTTTAGGGAAGCATGTATGCTTTCAGGACTCTCCCAAGAAGGCCCAGAGCTGAAACTGAGTTCCAAAAAGGAGAAGACACAGTTATAAAAAGACACAAAAGTGCTCAAAACTGGAAAGTTGCATCATATCCAGAATTCAAATCCCTTTGATTCTGGATCATATGTCCAATGTCCTGAACCAAGAAAACAGCTCAGCCACCCCTTTTCTCCACATTTTACAGAGAGCAAAGAAAGGCTAACACACTCAAGTGTCTACAACCATAGTGAGAAGCAGGGAAGGGCTGTGTGTTGCTAAAACACATACATGCTCTTCCCAGAGATTTTCCTTCCCTGAAGAAGGGGATGCTGCAGCCTGTTTACTTACCTGCACACCTGAAGCTCTGAACTGTGAGCCCTCTCTCTAGAGACAGCGTGGTCAGGATGCTCAGGAAGCTGGTGGTCACAGACTGGCGCTTGCTCTTTCTAAGATCGTTTCCCAAGGGCCCATCTCCGGGTTTGTTCCTAAGCGTGACCTGTGGGTTCTGAGTTAAACTTCTAGTAGCATTGGCTGCTGCTCTCAGTGCCTCCATCCACTCTTGGGCCCTCTGACGAGTCTCTGCACGAAGGCGGAGGACATCTTGAGGAAAAATGACCTGAAAGCAAGAGTCACAGCCATCCTGAGTATCTGTCTGGACCGACAGGCACACATCCACATTGTAACTCAGCAGAGGATCTTCATCAAGTCTACCCGGTTGGAATGCCATGAGATAAGACCTGTTCAAGACAAAAGTAAATGCCTTCCAGTTATTCTGGACAGTTAACCTATAAAGAGTCCCTGATTTGAGAATATTTTGGTACTCTTTAGTGTTTTCAGTCAAATTCACGGACAGGAAGAGCTCCATAGGCTTCTCTAACAATCCATTGGTTTGAGAAAGGTCACTGTTATTTTCAGGCTTTGGCACATTCTCCAGTTTCTCCTGCTGTCTCGTGAAAGCAGGCACAGAAGCACGCACCACTTCCCAGAGTTTCCGTCCCCAGTCCAAAGCCTCCCATGCGGACTCTGCCTTCAGCTGCAGCTGCGAGTTGTCTGACAGGACAGCATCCACCACCTTGGTTTCAATGCAACCAGTAACAGTGACCCTTTGAAAATGCATCAGTGGATACACGGTGGGAAGAGTCTGGTTGCCACTGCTGTCCAAGCAATACAGGTACAGTTTGTACGGGGAGAGCTCAGCGTAACAGGTTTGCCAGAAGCTGTCATTGTCTCTTCTAATCTCTAAGTATCCCTTCTTCAGAATATTTGGGAACACTGGCTTGTGTTCTGGAGGAAACAAAATGAGAATGTCACCATTAATTCTTTTCAAATAATCATTTCAAAGTGCTACATCGTTCTGGATTATACATAGTTCCTACTCATATACCTGGAGGACAGGATCACAGAAATAGCCTCCACCCAGCAGGTTATAATTATCAAACACAAGCACATTTGAGCCAACGAGAACACAGCACTTTTTTACTGATAGGTACCAAAACACTTTACAAAAATGGGACAGTGAAACAGAGGGGCAGAGAAACAAAGCCATTGTCCTGGGATTATACAGGAGAATAGCAACAGAGCAACGAAACACTGCAAGTCTCCCAGAACCTAGTCCAGAAGAGTACAATATTACCAAGTAATCTGTTGCCAACTGCAATAGATTTTGATAGCGAGAAACACATACAAATTAAAACAACGCCTTCCACTCCTGCCCCCTCTTTCCCAAGCCCAGCTTCATGACTTCACACACAACCCCTCCACCCACCAAGCAGCACAGAGGGAAGGTGATGGAGGATCGTGGTCAGTTCCTCTCTGCTGCTTCTTCCTCCTCAGACCTTTCCCCTGCTCCAGCCTGGGTCCTCTCCAAGGGGCTGCAGTTCCTCAGGATAAACCTGCTCCTGCATAAGTTCTCCACGGCCACAGTTCCTTCAGGAAATCTCCACCTTCTCCACGTGGGGCTGCAGGGAGATACCTGCTCCACCACGGTCTCACCAGGGGCTGCAGGGAAAACCCTGCGCTGGCACCTGCAGCACCTTCTTCTCCTCTGACCCTGGGCTGCTCCTCACACTTTTTCCCCTCTCTCCTCACCCCGCTGCACAGCGCGTTGCCCCTTCTGAAATGCACCCAGCCAGAGAGGCCCCACCTGCAGCCGGCGGGTAGAGCTGCGCCTTGCCGGGGGCTGCCGGAGCCGGCCAAACGGGCCAGCACAGCCCCGCTGCCAGCACCCGGGCACGGCATCCAGCACCCATACTTACTCGGGATGCGGGGAATGGAGGGCTGTGCCCAACGACAGCAGCTCTTCAGCATGACCCAGGACCAGAACATTTTGCACAGTTCTGCTAAAGAGGAGCTTTGCTGATTTATGGAAATGAGGCTCAGGGCCAAGGAGATGCAACCAAAAATTAAGAGTATGTCCAGATTCAAACACATATATCTGTGTGCCTCAGCACTTTAGGTGCTTTGGAGCAGATCCTTTCACAAACCTGGG